CTTTTCATAGAAAAGGTAAGATTGACAGCAAAACAGTTGGCAAAATAAATTGATGATTATTTTACCATCTAATAACATGGTAAGAATATATTTGATTATTTTTTCCACTTAATTAACCTGTGGGATATCAATATTAAGTCCATAAGTGTAATAAATAAGGGCAATATTGTACCATTTCTAATATTTTGTGTAGCCCTAATATTAACCTCTTTTCCAACGATAGCTACAGAACTGAAATGGGTATCGTTCAATTGGGATAAAGAGCTAGCAAGACTTAATATATATTGCCTGAGAAGGGAATACGTTTCTCGTTTTATAAACAGGTTTACATCTCATTATTAGGGGGAGTAAAGTCGGTTTTCAGGGAAACTATTACAGTGACTTGACTTGTGCCCATTTTTAGAGAGAAATTTTACTCTTTATCAAGATAAGGTATAAGTTAATGCTGACAGGTAGTCACTACTATATTGGAAAGACTTGTCATCTCATTCGACAAATGATGGCGAATGAATTCATTAAAGTTGTATAATCTCACCTTGGACGAGAATACATTTTGGGTAGCAAGAATATGTGAGATTCCTTCATATGATTGAGGGGAAATTCAGCTACCAGTCCTTCATCATCTTATACCAAATTTAATGAATACAGCCGTAGAGGTTGTTGGGCTCAAAGATCTGAAGTAGTGAAACATACGAAACTTGTCGTTTTGCCTGTTATGGCAAGTCTTCTAAATCTGCAGATTTTGGCAAAAAAATGGAATATCAGGAATAAGGCATATTATATGTATTCACCCTATTTCGTTTAAGGTAATGAAGGGTTGGCAGTAGAATTTTCCCACAATCATATGAGTAAAGCTGGCATTTATATCGCATTCACAAAAGTCGCCTAGGTTTTATCAAGACCCTCAGCGAGAGTCGACATAGGCGAGGTCTACTTTTTGGAAAGCAAAACTCTGTGAAATTCAATGGAAACGTCAGCTTTACTCATATCATTGTGCGAAAATTCTACCACCAGTCCTTCATCACCTTAAACGAAATAGTGTGAATATATCTCATATAACTGATTTACAGGAAGTCTCGAAACTCTTTTTAGATACGAGGAATAAGGCACACAAGGTAAGACAGAACTACATATACTAAATGGATAGATTAAAAATAAGAGAGGATGTTCAGCCGCCTAGACAAAGCTGGTATCTCAACTAGTCTTTTGTTGTGGCAGGTTTGGATGTAGCATGTGGGAGAAGACCTCTTGTCCATACTTATATAGTCAACGCTCCTATCCTAAATTTATATTTGCCGTGGTCGTCAAAATGTTCTCTTTTTTATCCATTCAGTACATGTTAACATCTGAACAACACAATATTTTTCCTTCGAACTTGCCATATCTCAACCAAAACGAGAATGTGTTAAGTTCTTCAACAAAAAATCTTTCAGGCTTTACAGAGACAAAAGATTGTGTCTTTGATAAAACTTAAAATGTGACTTTTTACTCAAATGTCGTTTGACTGAAATGCGAAAATCGAGCGGAACTTTCCTTTTGCAGGCAAATAAGACTGAACCTAAAAGAAAATGAGAAGGCATCAGGTGGATTGAAGAAGAGATAGCATGGTTGCCTCTGTACGTCTAACTTTGAGCTCAATAGATAATAATAAAATGAAAATTCTATGTTTGCTTACAGTTTTTGTAACTTAGTCGTGTTGTCGGAGTGACTCCGGAGATAGTACCGCTTACTGTCACTATTAAAATGTCTTTTTAAAGCCTCGGAAAGTTGACTGGGTATATTCTCTGCATTTTCACCAGCACCGTCTGTGAGAAGCGCTACACTCTGCAACAAGCTAGAAATTGACTATTTTTTGTCACTGTCCTTCTCTGTCACTCTATTTTTTTTGTTGATAATAAGCTTTCGAGACTACCAGTTAAAAAAGTGGGATAGATAGTCAAATTTTTCCATTATAAGATGTTTTAATCTCAGGCTTCCACTTAACTTCATATAGCCTTTCTTCCAAAAAGGTAATCTCGTCCAGACTAGGCTGGATTGCAGTTTCGACCTAGCTTGGGTCTCATCTGCACCATCAGCGGGACTCGAACACAAATTGTGGTAGTACTGCTTATAGTCACGACACGCTTACTACTAAGCCACACCGTCACGAGTGCCGTGAGGTTACAGGAAAGAAGGGAATTTCAAGGAAATCTAGACATTTCCCATATCACTTGCTGTGGTTTGACTGTCGATGA